TTTTTTTTGTTTTAAGCAGTGGGAATTACATTCACCGGCTTGTGCATTCGAGAGACTTAATAAAGAAATAATTGGATTATTTAAAAAAACAAAAAAAACAAATTCACCCCATGTAAGGCAGTAAAGCCACTGAGACACAAGGTGTTACTGGGTGTGGAGGATTTAAAAAACATTACTATGGTGCGGTAACAAAGGAAGAATAATCAGGAGAACAGCAGTTAGCGGTTAACTTTTCATCATGTCGGATTATGGATAAAGAATCCATTAAATCATTAGGAATTACTTTGTTTACGTTTCGGATATAACTTAAAAACTGAGCAGATTTGTACTTCCGGGAAAATCTGAACGGAGGGTGTGCATTCTTTATAAAGGGAAACTGAATCTTGCTGGACTATGACGTACTTTGTGGCCGAAGGTCAAATGCTCACCGGATCAGACCATTGTTTCTTCTGCAAAAAGGAAACAGTTTCGAATCCTGCCGGAGAAAGGACTCCTTTATTAAGTTTCTCGAATACGCAGACCAATAGACATTATTCACACTGTTCATAAAAGCAAAAATGAAACAAAAAAAAACAGGGCGTCTACTGAAACATGCGTATCAACAAAATAACGTTTCGTGTAATAGGGGATAATGTTGGATTAAAAATGAAAGATGCATTATTTTTATTAAAAAAAAAAAGTTATGTATAGCCGCCTTCCCTTTGGTAAAAGAAACATAGCCAAGCCATTGAATTCAAGTCTAGTTCACTTACGAGCAAATACCCTTGGAAAATCTATGAATCCGCCTCTACTCCCCCAGCTATGGGTTAATAATTAAGACCTGTCTCACTAAACTATTATTATCTCAAAAAAAATTCTTACAATCTAAAAATATTTTCTGGCTTTAAATAACCTGTAAAGGGAGGATTAAAGAAAGGACAAAAGATGAAGGGGATTCAAGAAGACAGAAGATGGCAATTGATGTTGCATTTAATTTCTTGAAGATTAGGGAAGGAAGTAAACGGAAGAGAGTTCCACAGGTGGGGAGTGCGCGAAAGAAACTGCTAGAGTAGAAATGGCGCTTGCATTTGCCTATTTCAACATTAAAATGGTAAAACGTAGATGATAGTGTATTGCAGGTAGTCGAAGCACCATAAAAAATAGCCAGTGAGAGCAATTGCCATTTGTAGACAGAGCGAAGCCATGTCACATCGGTGAGAAAGTGACTGAAGTCAAGATGTCAAGTCAGGATCGATTACATTACAGATCCTTCTTTGGATTTTATCAAGTATCTCGAACAACAGGGGCACAAGACCAGATTTGGCAACAGTATACAGTGCATGGACGGATACATATATATATATACCAGGTGCAACAGCAAAATTTTCCAAATCTTTTAACAGCATAATTTTCCATCCCACAAAATGTTTAAGATCTCAAAAAAAAAAAAATTTAAGTAATCATACTTATTATAAAACCCAGATTGTGTGTGTGTGTCTGTACGTTTATATATTGGATCGGATTTCCTACATTTTTCAACCGATTTCAACAAAACTTCACAGGACCACGTAAAATTACCTTGCGGTGGTTCTGAAATCGCCAAAAATTGGAAAAACACAATTGTCTTTGCACGAAATCAATTTGAAAGCACGATTAAGAGGCTTCGCGGAAATGAAAGGGGGACAACTCATATCGAGTTATACTTATCATAAAACCCAGGTTGTTTGTGTGTGTGTGTTTGTGTGTTCGTTTATATATGGGATCGGATTTCCTACATTTTTTCAACCGATTTCAACAAAACTTCACTTTTTTTTCGCAGATAGTGTTTCTTATTGTCTTGCACACTTTTTGCTTTATTTTTACATTCAGAATGCTTTAAAAATTCCATTTACAAGACAATTGTTTATAATAAAATTCTATTCAATCGGTAGACTCATAACGATTGAAAACAATGTTTTTGTTGGAGTTTGGGTTTGACCAATTCGTAAAAAAAAAAAAAAACTAATTAAGACATGCGTGTCCGTCAACCTTAAACAAATAATCTTTGTCAATTTTATTTTTCAGTCTTTATGATGGTCGATACTTGATCTATCTCTTACTGTTATATCCCCGGGCAACGCCGGGCTCTACTGCTAGTCTGTCTATATTCCTGAGATGAGGTATTATGTACACTATTTACATTGCTCGGACTATCATCCTCATCTTTGTTGCCATATTTATCACAACGTTTCGACCATTGTACGCTCCGGCTTTCTTCAGGTGGATGGAATGTTGAACTGAACCCTTAATTTTCGCTCGCTGGTGTGTCCTCCAGGTTTTCAGATAAGACGTTTAGACATATTTTTCGTAAGAATCACAGAAAAGCTTTTGAGTTATTCAGCTAAAAAGAGAGCAGTTTAACATCATTTTGTACCAGACCGTCTTTCCAACTGAGCAATGGTGAGATGAAAAAGATAATTCAGGTCTTCAGGAATGGTAAGAACATTCATAGTCTGGCTTCCATCTTCAAAGTCCATTCAAGAACCATCAAGAGAACAGTGAAAAAGTTTTAAAAGGAAGGAATAGTAGAGAGAAAAACTGGATCAGGTAGTCAAAATAGGAAGAGGGATCATCATTTCAACTTAGAGCTAAGGAGATCAATTAGAAAAGATCCAACTCAATTCATAAGACGTTTGACACATCAGAGAGGAGTTTCAGCTATGACAGTCCAAAGAGCAGTGAACAGACTTGAAAATGAAATTGTTCGTGAAACGTGTGAGGCAGCTAATTACTCTAACAGAAAAGAAAGAAGGTTAAAGATGGCGAAGGTCATCTTGAATAAGTTGGAAAATGATCCTGGAATAATATATATATATATATATATATATATATATATATATATATATTTATTTGGATAGATGATGAGTTTGTGACCCTGGGTTTCACGCTTTAGCGATCGTCAGACAAACTGATTAATGTTTTAAAAATTTGGGTTTATGTAGATTGCGTGTATTGGTGTTATTGTGGAAGTGGTGGGGGAAATTTCGTCGTTTTGTCATTCATCGTACTAACGCAAACATCGATGTATTCAGACACATATACATACTCGGTCGTCCGTCGGGACTCATACATATATAAACATATGTGGGCAGTTTCGGCTATGACACATGTATGTATACGGGTGGTGTTATATCTATACATACGCATTTGTATGTTGAAATGTTGAAATTTAAACACTGGAAGTGTGGCGGAAATGTCTCGTTACTGTATACATGTCATATTATGTATTTTCCCGCTGAAAAATATTTCCTCGCATGTATGTATATGCGTGTGGTGGGGTTTGTGTAAAATTATGATAGGTAAAAATTATTATTATTTATTTTTAAATTTTTGAAAAAAAAAATGGGGGTTTATTTATTATATTTAAAGCTGGTTATTTGTTTGTTTTTGGTGACTGTGTATATGTAACAGGTAGAAATTTGTAATCCTTATTGGTTAATTTATATGGTGATGTTTATTTTAATATTCAATGTGCTGGGTGAGAGGGTAGTTCAATTTAATAACGGGTCTATATGATATGATGTGATAGTAATGTTTCAAGAGATTGGAGACAATGATAGTTAGCTAATAGTTATTGTAAATTGGTAGAAATTGTAAATTGGTAGAAATGATTAGTAACGGTGGTGGGAGAATGATAAAACCATGAATGTAGTTATAGTGGTGGTAGCTTGAACTAAAAAGTGGTTGTTGGTGTTTTATTTTTGTTTTATTTTGTTATATGTATTAATTTATTTTGGTATAAATCCTGATAATAGGTATTCTGTTTTTTTTAAACATTAATCAGTTTGTCTGACGATGGCTAAAGCGTGAAACCCAGGGTCACAAACTCACATCTATCCAACCAAATATATTAGCTCTATCTCTGATATTGAGCGCTTTCTAATAAGTACCGCGCATATAATATATAAATAATTATACATACATATATTTATTTATATTTATATACACTTTTAACACACACACACACACACACACACACATATATATATATATATATATTAAGTTAATTTCAATTCTTCATGAGCTTCTAATCCTTAGCTATGATTAATTAATGATGAACATGTCATTTTCGTTTATGATCAATTTCATCACGGTTCTTCTGTTAAGCTTAGAGACTAATTATACGCTCTTATTACTCAGAGTAGAGTCCAGTAGAGTTAAAAAAAAAAAAACTCAGCGAATTCCAGTAATATATCTTTAATAATTTCTAAGATAGAAAGCTTAATCTAACAATTGGACAATTTTACTGTTACACCCAGTATACAGATATATGATAACATATATAGTTTTAAAGTATGCTATATTTATGGGTAAAAGTGCTCAATATTAGGGATAGAGGTTATGTTAATATAAAATATAAAAGTGGACACTGAGGTTCAGTTCGAGCGCTGACTAACTGCTCCATGCTTCAACGGAATCTTATAGCATTTCTGTTGTGTTTTCATATTGCATAGCAGTTAAGCTTCTTTTTCTTATGTCATTTTCCTTTTCCTTAATACTTTGCTTAGCTTTTGGAAGGAACCTTTTCTTAATCCAATGTCGCATTTTACAACCTTTATTGCTACACTTATCAGATAATTAAATATTAAATATATTTGCTTCATATGGACATCCCCACATCGTAGTTCGTATCTCAAAATGTTTGCTCTTGGCAATAAAACTTTGAGCATGGGTGTGGCAAAAATAGCGAAGAATATAAGACCATATGTTTTACTGCCCAGATTTCAGTTTCGCTTGGAAATTAAAGCATCTGGAATCTATGAATAAGGACGAGTCAGCAAAGTCAGGTAATACGTCTACAAATCATCTTTTTTCTCTTTCTCTCTCTCTCTCTCTCTCTCTCTCTCTCTCTCTCTCTCTCTCTCTCTCTCCCACTTTCTCTACCTCTCTCACACAGACATACGCACATACACGCGCGCTTCCATATGCACACATATCTATGTGCGTGTGTGTGACTTAGATAAGATAATAAAAAAACAGAATTATAAGCTGGGTAGACCTGAAGGCAAATCCTCGACACTTGCTGTAATTGGCGCTACATAAACATATAAACACAACTGCGGCCTAGAAGCACCGGAATAACTCAACAACCGTAGATAGATAGATAGATAGATAGATAGATAGATAGATAGATAGATAGATAGATAGATAGAAAGAGAGAGAGAGATGCAGAAGTTGGGATAAGTAGATAGAATATTAACAGGCTGGGGAACTTTATAATTTGCATGTATTATATGATGTCTTATTTATTAGAGAGATAGAAAGTAACAGATAGATAGATAGATAGATAGATAGATAGATAGATAGATAGATAGATATGAACAGGCTGAGATAGGTAGATATGCATAGATTGTGATAGATAGATAGATAGATAGATAGATAGATATGAATAGGTTGTGATAAATAGATAGATATGAACAAGTTGAGATAGATAGATAGATAGATCGATAGATAGATAGATCTGAATAGGTTGTGATAGATAGATAGATAGATAGATAGATAGATAGATCGATAGATAGATAGATGGTTATGAATAGGCTCCGATAGATAGATAGATAGATAGATAGATAGATAGATAGATAGATAGATAGATGGTTATGAATAGGCTCCGATAGATAGATAGATAGATAGATAGATAGATAGATAGATAGATAGATCTGAATAGGTTGTGATAGATAGATAGATAGATAGATAGATAGATAGATAGATAGATATGATATGATATGCAGATAGTTATGCGCTCGACCGTTTATATATCTATTTCTCTAGATCCGAATCTAGTTCCATCGTTGGAGCTCATAACATTAGAAAATGTTTTGCCAGTCTTTGAATTCCATTTTTAACTACTTCTTTTCCCATTCTCTTTTTGTCAAGATCTTGCAGACTAGTTCTTATTTCTTTTTTTTGTTCAAAAAGTAGAATTATTTCTGAGCAAGGATTTCCCTCTTTTTCAAAAGGCACTCAGAATCGATGAACTTTAACACAACCTTAATTTACAGAATATTTCGTGTATATATATATATATATATATATATATATATATATATATATATAGTTAAATAAAAACAGACCACTTTAGGGTTCCATGTAAAAAAATATTTCACCACAAACCTTTTAAAGGCCTGCGGATTATCAGACTTTACTTCCAAAGGTTGAAACGAAAAATGAAAAGAAATTTACACTTTTTTGACGGGCCGTATTAAGCATATGTAAATTGACGAAGTGAGGAAGTGAGGTGGGTGAGAGAAGACCTGAGTGAGTTAGATGTAATTTAAATTTCTATTCTTTCATACTTAAAATTACTTGAGGAGGTCCAGACATTGACACATTTAAACTGTTAATCTAACCGAAGTTATATATTGATATAGAAGGGGTAGAGGAGAAAAATACATAAAAAGAAAAAGAGAGAAGGAAGTCATGAGAGAAGGTGTCACTAATTTTCTTTGGAAAGAACAGGCTAGAAAAAGACGCTGTTATTTTGTTCTACTTTGAAAGTGTTATTTTGGGGGTTCATAAAGATTATAATGATTGATATAAATTTGAAAGTCTAAACTGTCTACAAAGAATTTAATTTGATGTTTGTTAGTGATTTAATTTTTTTTTAAATTTTGGGGATTTTCTATGAAATAGTCGAATAGAAAAAAAATTCATACAAGGTACATTAAAAGAATACAATTTCATTTTAAAATACAAGTTTACTTCTAGTAATCTTTTTTATTTTTTAAAAAAAAATTATTATTGATTATTAAATTGACATCTCTATCCGTTTGAATTTTGTTCATGAATTTAACTCGTGACTATTTTTAGCTGGGTAATCTCTTTTACTTAAAGTTTAAAGTTAATATGGAGTAATATTTGAAGGTAATATTAAAGATCTTGCTCCGTCATATACTCTATACACGCTCATGCAAATCTCACATATACATACGTTCCTTTACATGTGCAATCACTTATACAGGTACCCATGTATCGATATACACAGATTATTTAATGTATGAACACCTACATAAATATCAATTTTTTTTCCAATTTAAATACTTTATCATCAATAATGATTATAAAAGGGTAATATAATTCAATATAAATTAAATTATCAATTTTAAAAAGAATTACCTTCATATTATAAAGAATTTTAAACTCACACTTCCAATTGGAGAATATTAAATGAGAAAGTGAGATAAAACATTAATAAGTAAGTCCTTCTTTTATAAATATCCATAAATATACACATATCCGTACACATGCACACACTCATATACATACATATCCATATATCTATACATACACATATACATACATATATATATATATATATATATATATATATATATATATATATATAGTCGACTCTCCCGTCAACGTATGAGGGTCAAGCAGATCAGTTTCCAGGAAACCGACAGCCCGACACCGGCACATGAGATTTGATTTTAGTGGTGAAGGCCTCGTGCAGGACCATCCACACTTTTTTGAAGGGCTGAATACAGAGACCTGGTGCACCGAATGCCACAAGTTTCCCAAACGACCCTTTGCAGGTTTTGAATTCAGGGTTGTCCTTCTCCTAGACTAGTTGCCATTCAAGGCTATAGAACCAAGTCTGTCCTGCTATTTTACCCATAGCTGGAGGGAGAGTAAGAGGATTCATACCTTTCCCAAGGGTATTAGCACGTAAGTGAATGTAATGGATTCGAACTCGGCTCTGCGATTTCTCAATCCAAGCCACTTATCCGTGCCTCCTACCTGACAAATCGACCATGGTGAGTGTATATCTACATGTGTATGTGTGTATGTATGAGTATATATATATATATATATATATATATATATATATATATATATATATATATATACGAAATATTCTGTAAATTAAGATTGTGTTAAAGTTCATCGATTCTGAGTGTCTTTTGAAAAAGAGGGAAGTCCTTGCTCAGGATACATACAGATGTAGATATACCCTCACCATGGTCGATTTGTCATGAAGGTGACTTCTTGAGATTATAGCTCTGGAGGAGGCGATTTCAGCGTGCGACAATTTTGGAAAGTACCTGAAAAACCATACCACAGGTTGACCCAAGCCTTGTGAGTGAAATCGGCTATACTTAACTATTGGGAGCCGCTGATGGTTGTGCTAGCACGAAGTCACAAGTCATCGTGACCGAGGATTTGAGTGTGCTCGCCTTGTTCAGATTGTTGATCATGCTAGACTACGCGCTCTCCCCCAGAAACTGTAACTAAGAGTCACTCAGTAAACTTGCAGTATAAACCAGAGGTCAGCTCTGTGGGTGTTGAACAAACACAAATCTGCCTGAGAAGGCCTCTGCAATGGGGATTAGCTAGCCGCCCTAGTAGTATTGCATCTCCAGATTCGAATGGCTGCGTTCCATTCCCAAAAGCTTTTCAGCTAAATGGCCCGTTGCTTTGTCCTATCTCTCTTGCTCTCAATATGCTCCGTGAGGATTAAGTTTTTCAAGACCTCTTTCCTGATTATGTATCCAGCAAATGCCAGCTGTCTCTTCCTGATTCTGAGCATAACTCAGTCCATGAAATTCTCAGTATCCTTCTGTTGCCTCTAGTTTTCTCATCCGTGAGGAGACTGTCCAAATGTTACGTTGGATATTTTATTATCAACTTATCCATTTTGGATAAAGAACTCTAATATAAACCTGTCACTTAGATTGCATCCACCCTGCTCTGGCATCTCGTTTACAGTCTCTCTCTCACAGACGTGCCATCGCCTCCCTCTGTCTTTTCTACAAATTCTTTCACGGTAACTGCTCCGACGAGCTACTTTCGCTAGTTCCCAGACTGCATGAATTTAAACATGCTACTAGGTTGGCATCTCGATCCCACATTTTCACTGTCGAAACAGTTAAATGTAGACGTCTCTTCTACTCCAATAGCTTCATGTCTTGCCCTTCCTGTCTGTGGAACTCCCTTCCTCTTACTTGCTTCCCTGTCCTTTATAGTCTTCAAATATTCAAATGTAATATCAATCGACATCTTCTGATACCTTGATCTAATTCCCCGTCCTTCTCTTTATCCTTTCCTCGATCAAGTCTCTTTATTCTTGCTCCCAATCACTGTAACCCCTTGCGTGGTAGTGGCACTCCCACTTTGCTTGGGGTGAAAAGCTTAAAAAAAATTACTGTCGTTGTTGAAAGCTCCCTGTGCAATGTTTTTTTTTTTTTTTTTTGCTTTTATAAAGGCATTCAAATTTAATGATAGTTAATAGCACATACATTTACCAGATATCTGCTATAGTTATGTACCAAGTGATAAGTACAACGAACTTTCTCATACATTTATTGACTTGCATATATTTTGATGGGTCAAGTAAATATTTTCATATCCAGAGATGACACTAACAGGGGTTAGTGAGCATATTCTTTCCCCAATCCCAGTCTGATTAATAATCTGATAAGATGACACTGAAGTAGAGAGATACGTCCATAGATGGCTACCTTACCTCTTTTACGTTGTATATTTTATTGTTTTAATTTTGTATTTTTCCTCACCTTTCAGTATAACCAGAAATAGGTTATGGAGCAGCTGTTGTTTATATTTAGCGTGAAAGATATATTAATAGCCGCTCGAGAGATTACATTTTCTTTTCATAATATAGCCTTTGACTCAATCTTTATGCTAGACATCTGCCGTCAAGCATGTAAAATTACCTGATTAATGCGTGGGTGATGTTCGGCAGACAAGTTCACATAGATAGTGATAAGTATAGAAGCTGCGTCAGACAGCGGGGTAGGTACGTATAATAATAGAACAAAGATAGATAAAAACTATCTGACACACCTACCCCTCATATATATATATGTATATACAGAGACAGAGAGAAAGATAAAATATATATATATATATATATATATATATATATATATATATATATATATATAGCGAGGGAGAGATAGAGAGAAAAAGATTGAGAGATAAAAAGAGATATACAGAGAGAGATGTGGGGAGAAAGATATATATATATATATATAGAGAGAGAGATGTTGAAAGAAAGAGACAGATATAGAGAGCGATCGAGAGAGATATTGAGAATGAGGGTAAAGGGAGAGATAGAAAAAAAGAGATTGAGAGAGAGAGATAAAGAGAGAGTTGTAGAAAGATCCATAGAGAGAGAGAGACAGATCATATCATTTTTGTTATTGGTATTAATTATTCTGCCTTCTCGAATTTCTCCCATAGGCCTAAAATCTACATTCTGTAAGAAGCATATGTGGCCAACCTTCCCCTACTGTATAGGGTGGGATGGGTAAATTGTCGCCATTTTATATTTTTAATTTTGCGCATGCGCATTGTTTGCTTTTGATTTTGTCGACTACGCAGTATAATAGGGTCAGTTGGACAGCGTCTGTGTAAAAAAGAGCACCATGTCGGATTTCCCTCCGCCAGAAATTTGGAAACGGCATGTTGTACTACTTGGCATTCGCGCCGGAAACTACACTACTAACATTCTAGAGTGTTTGGGTGTCAATCTGTGGACAGTGCAGAGTATTCGGAAGAGTTGGATGAATTATCCAATCAACATTATGGTGTTTGGATAAATCACACTTGATGACGCCTCATACTCAACACGGAGGCCTCCATCAGATGCCTTGAAGAGGTAGAAGACCCTATGTCTAGCAACAGAAACTCTGCACCATGCCACACAAGTAGGAGAACCCAGTCATGGCTGTCAGACAATTTCTGCGACCACATCAACCTTTACATCTGGCCACCTAACTCCTCAGACTGCAACCCCCTTGATTAT